TTGACGGGGATAGAAGTACTGTATGGAAACTGAAGGTATCATTTGGAACCTTGAACTTGCCTTTTAATAAGTCCCTTTCTTTCGATAGATTCGTTCGTGAGAAAAATTTTCCTATTTGCACCCGTTTCTGTTGCTAACGTAGGTGTCGTCGAGCCTCAATCTGATCTCAGGCGTGTTCATTATATAGAACGTCGAGCGATGCCGTAATATGGAAAAGGCACGCAGGTGGCTGTCAGGTTTAATAGGAACGTGATTGTCATCAACGTAATGTGTATTTAACCTACTTTTTTTACATGAACCAAAACTTATACGTGGTAGTAGCGATGAGTTTTTGTTATCAAATTAAAACTGACTACTTGTTTCGGACATTTGCTTCGGCCAGACAACTTGGAATAATCGCTTTTTATCGACGTTTATTTCAAAAGCTTTTTGCACAATTCCTTCTATTGATATGAGAGACAAATGCGACTCTTTCTGAACGCGATACTCAACAGGTATACTCTTTTATAAAGTTAGAAGTTATTTAGTATAAATTACCAATCTACTTTTCATGAACGTGCAGAGAGGACTAAAATGAAAAATCCAACAAAAACTCTGTACCGAATTGCTGGGTTAAGTATGGATTAAACAAGATACATCAAGAGAGTAAGTCAATCAGAATTAGGCAATGTGTTGAAACTAGGATGCTACATTAAAAAAGACTGTTATGAAACAAATGTAAAGAAGGTTAACCCATGTAGGTAAACAAAACACACGGGAATTGGAACCATGCTATAATAACATATAACTTTGTCTTTAACTGAAGGCTATTTTGTTGAATTACTCAACAAGGGTGCGAGGAACAGTCTACAATCGGCTGGAGCTGACGGTGTGCCTGTCACGCCCCCAATTCTTCTCAATCTCAATCTCTAACCGAGATTCTAGACGGGCCCTGATGACATGCTGCAAGTATTTTTTTTTTTTTTGTGTCAGGTGGGGAAATGCATTATGCACACTCCGGATGGAAAAGTCCGGAGTAGTGTGGGACTCTCACCCACTAAAACCCCACCCGAGGCTTCGGCTTCTAGGGCCATTCGCCTTTATACATACTTTTACACAGAAAAAGATGACTATATAAGTACGATTTCTTTTTATATCTAAGTACCGATTATACTTAGTGTGCCACACTTGATTTTTATTAAATATTAATGTGACCATATTTTATTTGCAATTAATAATAATAGAAGTTAGGCTAATACCAAATTATACTTTAGGTTCACACTTTACAAGAAAATAACATAAAAATGGTGGTTCTGCTATTTATATAGGCACGTGAGGGCAAAGATGATAGTGTTGAGCAATCAATAGAGAAAGATTATTGAATTGGCGTTAAACAAACAAATTCGCGAACATCTTGAAGGCAGCCATTTACTTTCATAATGCCAGTATGGGTTTAGAAAGAACTTATCAACCACAGATGCAATTTTACAGCTAGAAATCCAAATATGCAACGAATTTGAGAGAAATAATCATGTGGTGGCACAATTTTGTGATTTAACGAAACGTTTGATTGTGTGCCACATGATATCCTAATTCATAAATGTCAATTTTATGGTTATAACAGTTTGGCACTAATTAAATCTTACATGTCAAAACGAAAACAATTGGTAGTGTTAAATGTGGGGTACCACAGGGATCTGTACTAGGGCCCACTTTGTTTCTGATCTATATAAACGGTCTACCAATACATATACCTACATCATTTCCAATTCTATATGCAGATGACCCCACTGTTACGACAAGTGTATTACTTATGGCAATAATTCCATGGCCGTGTAGATAGTAAATTCGTAAAAATCCAATATGGCGTCCATTATAAGGAAGTTGATGTCAATACCTCGGAAACCGTCATTTAAAAAATTTTTTTCTACGTTCATTCAATCCCATCGAATCTTGCAACTTTTATTTGAAACTTTTTTCGATAGCTCTCTTTGTTACTAAAATATTTGAACTTTTTAAAAATGGACTTGTTTCCAATTATCTACGAAACGAATTATTTTTTTCAAAATATCGCATCGGAATATCCATCAGCCTCAAAAACTACACAACTTTGCAAATTGAACCGAATCTGTAAGTATAAAATAGCCATGCTCTCCTACTCAATTTAAGACACCCTGTATAGGTGGGGTAGGTCAGGATTCCATTTCAAACAATAAATTCAAGTCTTCGATGTCCTCATACAGTATCAGGGGTTGGTACCGGAACCGAAAAGAACCGGTACCGGAACAGATTGCATTTATCTTTCACTTTGAACCGGAACCGTTATTTAAGAAGATTGTATATTGTTGCTCTTAAAATTTGCTTCTGACTTCTGATTTGCTCTACTTTTCCTTGTTTGAATCATTATTAGTTCTGTAGTAGTATCAATAAAAACGCCTTAATTAATATTGATTATCGCCGATCACTTATCCGGTATCGGCTAGATGGCCAAGAATAAAATCTTTCCTTCTGAATTACGTTCAAGAATTTACAACTTGCAAGAAATTTCAAAAGCCAAAAATTCAAATTCTTACTTTTATTCAGAGATGCCCATTAATTTCTGCCAACTTAACCCTAATTTATGTTGGAACTCTTGAAAACAGAAAAAGACTCTGGAACCGGAACCGAAAATTACTGAAGCCACAGAACCTGAACCGGTACCGGAACCCTTAAAAAATAATTCTACCTAAATAGTGCGGAAACGGAACCTATATTTCACATGTGTTCCAAACTCTGCATAGTACACATTTTTATAAAGATAGAAAGTGCGGTATCTAATGGAAACAATGTAAATGAAGTTGTTTAAAAGAGGCAAGCTTTTTTGGGCTTGTCGGAGAAGGCAATTACCCCCTTTGCCCCTGCTGTATTCGCCACTGCTAATTAAAAGAGATGTTAATTCAAGAAACTTTTTACTCGTTTAATGAATTCTTTTTGCGTAATTTTGGAACATATAATCCGTAAATTAATCTGTATGACACATGTAAAATACTTTTTTTCACTACTAGCGTCTGATGACATGATTATTAATCTTTTTTCCACTTGTAAAGTAGGCTTCTCGGCAGTTGTTCAAAGTGGTTAATAATGTCCACATTATTAACCACTTTGAACAATAATAAAAATAATGAAAATAATGTGGGCAAGTAACTAGTAACTAGTAACTAGTAGTCAATAATGGGAACTGTCACGCTGTCACTTTTAGAAAACACAACCCGAAATTTCGCTCAATAAACGTTTAGACAAGTTCTCTAAAATGAATAATTGCCACCATCCGCCATTTCCAGAGAAATTACATACCTAAAATTATCACATTTTGAAAAAATTCGAACTCTTTGAAAATGTCTTAATGACAGAACAAAATACGGCTTGTTTGACTTGTACTTCCAAGTACTTGGTTAACATGTTAAATTAGGTAATAAATGGTAATAAACAAAAAAATTTGTCCAACCGTTCACTTTCTTATCAATAATAAAATTAATTTAGAGGACTTCAAGTACTTGTAGTGAAAAAAATAGTATATATACCACGGTAGAGAAGTCTATTATTGCCTCTGCACCTTACACCCCTCGGCGCAAGCGCCACGAGATGTAATCTTGGTGCTCAGGCAATAATACTGTACTTCTCTACCTTGATATATAATGTACCATTATATTATTGACACAAACTAAAATTATTATATTACTATTACACCTTATATCCAACTATCATCAATAATAAAACTGTTTGAAAAAATGCACCTCTAGCTCTCTTTCTATGAGGTTCTCACTCACTCATCTCCAGATCTCCAATCCTTTTTGCTTCCAGAAGTTTTGCCGATTTCAGCGGAAACTGTTTCTACAAGAAGACCCACTCAAGTTTTTCTTGCATGTTTTAGGTTAGATCAAACCAAGCAAAACCTTCAGAATAAGGAAGGGACCTTAAAAGTTATCACCATCCAATCTTTTTGGGATCAGGAACCGAGGTCCTGCCGCCTTTCCCTGACTAATGTGATTAATGCCAGGATCCCTGGCCTGTCAGATCCGCCCCTCTTCCTGTCGGCTCTGGGGACAATCTGAACCCTTGAGCACTAAAAGTTTTCTGTCAAAAGTCCTCAATATAAGTTTACATTAGCACAAGCTACTGCCATCATGGAAATTGAGGGAAGGGTAAACGGGATTGTTTGCTAGGAAATGTTTGGGGAGGATTACATGGAGGGGGGGGGGGCAGTTGTACTCGGTGGCTCCCATATCCCCTGATCTCCTTTTACGAGCTCCAGGGTGGAAGTGGGTCAATTGTACCCACGAGTTCCAGGGAGCCTGTACTTCATTTGTGATTACATTACTTTCATTACCTTAGCAACCTGCACTTTTACGCTTTTCGCTAGAATTAAATTAGTTCGCATTGCTAACGCAGTTGTGAATATTGTAATTAAGTATCAACTGTGTTTCAAATTAAATTGGTGTATAGTCTAAAGTTAAAATTACATGAATGAAGGCACTCCTTGAATGTAGAAATTGAAGTTTTCCAATTAATTACCTGATAACGTTCTTACTGAAATAAATGAATAAGGCATCCGTTTCCGTTTTCGACTTTTATGCCACATAGTAGATTAAGCAAATTATTTGATATAAATTAAAAGCTCTGCAATGGCTTCTTAGATTTATTTACAATAATATGATTTCAACTGATACTGTGCGAAAGCTTTGTCTTCCCATGGGGAAAACCTTGTATATGCTATATTATTTAGTTCACGTCAACAAAGGTTTTAAAATTATGACTTTCAGTAAACGCTCGAAATCAGGTTGGGAATAACATTGCGCGAAAGCATCGGCATGGAAAGGGTGCATGAGTTCAATTATTAAACAAAAATTTCTAAGAATTTTGTGTGGGAAACTCGATTCTATTAGCATAAAGTTACCAGTGCTAAAATTTCCCAGAGACCGAAATAAATGCTAATAGCTGAAACAACCCCTTTGCTTCCAGAAACATTAATATTGAACACTCACCTTATAGAAGTAAAAGGAATTTAATCCTTCGGAGGTAGGTCCCGGCGTACCAGAAAGAGAATGTAGAATACTGTCAGTGGCATTATCGGGCGACGTCGTCGACTGAATTTCGTAGCTTAATGGCGGTATCATCATCGAAGGTAGTGATGTGGTCACCTCGTCGCTTTGCCAATTTAAGTTGATTATTGCGGCTCCGTGCCTCACTTCCAATATCGGCTGTCTAGTCATCTTTGTCTTGTTTAAGAACCATGTTATTCACACTTCTGCGTGTCATTCAATCTCATATTGCTGCCTCCATGATCATATATGCGCCTGAAACAAATAAAATATATTCGGAGGAGTTCCTTTCAATTGAAGCGTTTGTAATAATTCATCATTTCGAAAGTACCAGGTTGAACCCTGAGCTTATATGGCAGTTCAATTTGAAACAAGTTTAGTTGAATGTCAATAATGTACCTTTTTCATAACCAGTAGGTACAGTAAACATAAAATATTTTATTTACAGCCCTTGTCGTCTCGCAAACTTTTAAACGTCACTACAGATTTTCCGGATTTGTGATACAAATAAGAGGAACGGAAAAAGACAAATTTGTTTTCACATATAATATTTACATATATTGCGCACTTTTGTTAAGCAACTTATGTACGTTTTAATGGTAGCAGTGAAAAGAGCTTCTAGGGCCTTTCCAATGATGACAGACCTTCTTAATTAAAAAGGGGCTAAACTCCTTGTTTTTGAAATAAACTTTTAAACAAAAATTCTACGCGAATATCTAAATTATTTCTTAAATAAGCTATAAATTTGACGTACACAGAAGAACTTGCTTCAAATAATTATATGAGTCACTAGAAAATTACGTATTTGTCAGATTAAGAGGTAATCCTAACTAACGTGATTACAGAGCTGTCACAGACACTCACAAATCTTATTGGAAATACTTAGGACTTGCAAATATGGAAATATATTCAAAAACAAAATACTTTTATACTTAATAACGTGCCTAGGACGACGTGTATCAAATAACGGACGCGGTTAAATTTTGTAAACCGAGGCGTTTATGCGTTGTACCTCGACGAGTGTAAAAATAACGCGTGGTTGATCAAAATATGTTTTTACTAGTGTAAAGTCATTCGAATTATTGATAAGTATTGAGTATTAATTACAGTTTTAATATCTGATTGCTTCCGTGTCAAACGTTAGCATTGTTATTTCGCAATATTTTATGTGCAACGCGATTCACTATCCCTTGTATTTGGTTGTTGTGTTATTGTCTGAGACAGATTTGCATAGCGCGGATTGACTTCATACGTGTAATTGATTAAAAAATTTTGAATCTCGTTTTGGGATCCTGGTCTGCTTGGTCTGAAAAGAATTTCAAGCACATTTTTACAGAAAAAAAACAATGTAATGCTGTGGTAAATTGGTAAAGTCTTCGATTGATACCCAGATGCTAAGGAAATCAAAAGGACCAACAGGACCAAGTCTCGTTTTATTTCACTACTCAGAACCGCATTTGTAGCAGAAGAAGCAGCTGACATAGTTACAGTTCTGGAAAACCCCTCAGTGAACTTTTTTATGTGTTTCAAGGCAAAAGGAGAAACAATCACTTTGGCAATCGAACAGTTATTAGCCCTTTTGTATGGCGGCAATGTCGATTTGGACAATTTAAGGTTTTTGTCTAAGGAGTAAAAAAAGGACCAATTTAATTTATCCAGGATACCACTTCGTCAATATCGAAAACTTGGATTTAAGATTAGAAGACATGTGTGGGTATATGAAACGTTAAAAAACATGAAATTTCCGGCATAATTATGATCGCAAATCACTAATCACATTGGCCTAGAACAGTAGTCAGATGAAGTGTTACTGTCATGGAAACTAAAATATCCTGACATAAAGCAGGCTGAAAATTAAGGTTTCAAGGCGATTTCGGGAAAAAACATCCCCTTACAATCAAAGTTGCGTTTATCTCAAATTTTTTCCTTTATTTTGTTTATTTTGGGGGACAATTGATCCCCGGATAATTTGTCTCCGATTTCCGAGAAACACAGTTTATTTAATAATATATTTGATTATACAAGAGTGTTTTAAATAGCAGAGGAAAACGTAAATCGTGTCTTTTTTGGTGGTGGATGTTAACCGTTGTTTGTTTTTTGGTGGACGCTTATTGTCTTGATTTTTGTGCAATTGTACCGTATTTGAACGTCCGTGCGATGTTAAACCTTTTTATATTTAATTAGATATTTATACTTTTTTGATAAAACCCCCGGTGACACCTGTCATGTGGAAGGTAAGGTACAATGTGTCAGGTTAATTTTAAAGTTTGTTACTAATGCCAACTGCAAAGTGAATAATAATAATGCGAGTACAGTGCAAACCTTATCGTTATCCGATAAATGTACTTCTATTTATTTGAAGCTATTGGTGGCTTTTTCTGCTCTCTACATGTATCTAAGAGGGTAATAAAATAACGAAAAGGCCTAAGCAAACGGGTCGCCCTTAATTAAAAACTAACTCTACGAACACCAAGTTTATCTGACGATTGTCCCAATCTCCTTTCATGGGAAGATCACACGACACCATTTCATAAGTACCCAATCAAAGTAAAAGCCGTTTTAATAAAATTTGACTCCTAATTGTTTACTCGAGTGTCCACAGACGGGCTAACACGAACATTCATTATTAGTACAGAAAAGGTTCATCTCATGAACACGCTTAATTACCTGAAAAACAAATAGGGAGCTTTGCGACAACTTCTTAACGATCTCCATCTCCTTTATTACCAGTGGTTCTGAGATAAACCCCCGATCCAGTCCGTATAATAGAATTTGTTGAGTAATTCTCAAGTAGTTTTGTAATTACAAAATGGACGTGCTTTTCAAGCTCAGATTGTTATCGCCGGGGGAGTAATGACGAAAGCGTTACACAATGACTTATTAGACTAAGTGTTGCGTTGGTAGATTTAAAAAGTTTAGTTACGTGTAGTTTTCAGTACTTGCCTCCAATCTCCGATTTCTACATCCCAGCAAGTTTCGGAAACGTATTTTTATTTATAAGGGACTTTGGTATGAGTGTTACCTCCAAACTATTTTGCGACAAAAGATCTTAGAAACTTGCAACTGTCAATTTTTTTAGATTAAGGTAAATGCAAAAAAGAAGGAAAATTGGGAATAGATTTGTAGCTTTCCTGATTTGTAGATTACGGAGGTACAAACATTCTAACTAAAACCACGGTTTGGTTGTTTTGCCCTTTATTATATTACGGCTACGAATTCCACTTTGGGAAGCTTTTTACTGTTATAATGTGAAGGCATTATGAAATTGAACGTCATTTCGAATATATGAAAAATTAACTAATGGAACTTTGTAACGTGGGCGTGCAGCGGAGTAGAAACGCATTAAATGTGTTGAGAATCAACCCCCAGAACAACACAGCATTACATTGAAATTGAGGCAAATTAATAATGAAACCTTACTGTAATAATAGAACTTCTGCCGAACTAAATACGAGTATACAGGTATGGAAAAAAACTTATTGCGGGTATGTAATAAGCGAGAAGGAAACCCAATGAGCATTACCTATATGAGTGTGAGAGAGACATTTGCAACTTTAACAAAGCTGACAATGACAGTGGGCATTAACTGTATCGTTGATACTACCCTACTGAAAAGTGGTATCAGCGCTTCTGCCTACTGAGTTTCTTTCTACCTTATTATAAGTGAGGCCCGCATTATTTTTTAAAGGCACTAATGACTGGACAAGTGATACTCGTTAGTGCTTCATTAGGACCTCTTAGTGCTTTAAAACCTAATTTGAATTTGGATTGGATTGGTTTTGGTATTTGCCTAATGCGTCTGAAAAATTAAAATTGTGTAATTACTCGGTATCCAAAAAACTAAATCCAAAAAGAAAATCCGCCTGAGAAAATGATGCACAATGGTTTACTAAACGATTCATTCCAACAAATAACAACAATAATTGTACTTCTTGCACTTTTCTTCCGAGATGGTATCGCCCCCCCCCCCCCCCCGCTTTTTACACCAAGCAATCTCCACAAAAAAAGGGAGTCCTGTTTTGGAAAACGTGATACCGCGAGAGAAATATTTAAATTTACCAGTTCTTCGAAGAAGTAAACTAAGAATTCGTCCCTTTATGACAGTAAAAACCGCCATTCTAATTCAAATTTAACGCTAAAATCTGTGTGAGATTGCCATCGAATTATCTTTTGAGCTTTGTGTTTTGGTTTGTAACAGGATTTAGAACAGTGTTATTATCTATTTATACAGATCCTCCGTAATCAATTTCTGAGAAGCTATTTACAAATTTCGGACGCCTGTTATGGTGTTCTGGTATGTAGAAATCTTGCCTAAGACGACTACTAAAGTTCAAATCTCCTGACGAGAATACTATAAATATGGACCAATAACTGCCTATGGTATATGCTAGATGCTCTTGAAGCCCTTTAAATAAACAACTGAATAGGGCAATAACAGCCTAAAGTTTTTTATCGCACTATTGAATAAGAGCTTAACAACCACTTTATATAGAATTTGTGGCTAGTAAACTTCAAGAAGCACAGTTCAGGCCATTAGTGTAGCTGCTTTTTTAGTGTTAACGGTAATATTTCATAATTTCCATGTTATTACGGTGTATGGAAGTGCTCGAAAGCACTTACCCATTGAGATGACGACCGATATGCTGTGTATTGCTATATTTCTGTAAGTAGTCAATTCCAAATTTTAAAGCTCACTTTTAACGTGTGAATGGCGTAGTTAATTTAATCAAAGTGCCATTTGTAAGAATGTTAAATTAATCCCTTTCTACTAATAGTTAGCATAGGCACTAAAAAGTGTACGATCTAGATTTTAGGGTCAATGGTGTGTCACACTGACACATTCAATTTGATTCAGCTTCTTATTTAAATATTTATTTATTATTATATGAGACGATAATGGGATACTTTAACCATAGAGTGAATTAACTTTCACGAGCTGGTCAGTTTTCCTTTATCGTCGTGTATAATACAAAACTTTATTTTATAGCAGAAGCCATACCAATCATTGTAAAGCTTCTGACAATAATTCTGTTTTTAATTAAACGTCAAAAATAGCAAGCTTAGGGTCTGCCATCGCGGTCGTTTCCATGTGAACAACATTGTCATATATTCGGAACGTCATTTTATACCGTGCTACGCGTCCCATTTTAAATAAGAATAATTGTCATTAGAATGCATCATCATCTGTTTCAAGTTATTTACCCCTGCGGTTTTAGTTTTAATATATTTTCCAACCTAGTAAATAAAACAGAAAA